GTCTGTCAATAGCACCCTCAGTTTTTATTGACTTGGCAAAGGCTTTCATGTGGGTTCTTGTGAACAGGAACCCAGTCCTTCTATATTGCAGAAAGTTAGTTTTTCCACAGTCCTGTTTAACCCCCAGGGCTGCTTGTGCCCCTGAGCTCTCAGCCTACTGAAAAGTCACTCCAGAACTTGCTTTCAAACTCAGGTTTTCATAAAAGCCATAAAAAGAAACAGGCACACCTTCTATTTCTTTTAATACACTGACGTTCCTAGGTCCACAGACAGATCTCATTGCGACCCAGCCTGCTCTCTTTAAGGATGTAGGAGTGAGCCTTTGTTACTTCACACGATAATTCAAGAAACAGAAATGAAGTCTGTGAGAGGCGCTGTGGCACAGTCACTGGGGAGAAACTTCAGATCTGCCATGACACTGGTGGTGGTATCAACGGGGCCCAGTTTCTAACCTTTTTCAGACATGAGAGACTTAGAAAGAGGAGCAGTGTCAGCCACCTGAGTAGCTCAGAGTCGATCGTGCGGAGGCACGTGGGCAACTGTGCTGCAGTGGCGACACGATTGCCAGGCTGCGACTGAGACCACCCTACAGTGACTGAGGAAATAGCCAAGAAGGACCTTTTTGGCTACAGGCACTGGGGAGAATCAGACGAATGAGAACAACTGAAGGAGAGCAGGACAGGAGGGGACCTGCTGAGAGACACACTGACGTGTGCCTGCCATCTAGTGCTGAGCTTGAGAGGAGGACAAAGGAAGCCCCAAGAGTGGGCCGAGAGAGGATGTGCAGGACAGGCATCCAAGGGTACAGGAGAGAAACACAAGACATGGGAGAACCATGCCAAGCACAGGGGAGATTATAGAGCAGAGAGGAGCAGAGGGTGACAAACACACTGTGGAAATGAAAGGAAATGTTCTGAGAAGTTAAGATAAATGACAAGGACGGCACCGAGTATACAAGGAGCAGGAGGTCACTGAAGGAAGTGGTGGAGTCTTTAAGGTAAGCATTAGGGGAACTTATTGACAGAAGCCATAAACGCAGCTAAAAAATTAAATGAATTCATTGCTGTGGTGCTCACAAAGGAAGATGAGAGACAGACGCCAGCAGCAGACATACAGTTCCCAGAGGAGAGGGATGAAATGCTGCAGGAAATCAGAAGCGTGCCGAAACAGGTGATCGGGAAGTCTGAACCTCCACAGCCCACCTGAGAGCTGGCGGATCGCAGGGAAGTGGGGGAATTAACATGCAGACAGACGCTGAGCCGCGCATGCAGGAAGGCCCGGCTGCTGCCGCCAGACAGACACACACCTACATCAGGTAAGAAATCCCACCCGCCGCAGCTCGGGAGGCTCTGCGATCCCAACAGCAGCTGGGACGGAGGTCAGGGCAGTTTCCATTGCCACGGTCACACAGCTGCTGGCAGCTCTGGCCACTTACACACTCTGCAGGCCACTTGCCACCTTTTGCCAAAACAGCCCAACCCCATCTCTTCTGAATGCTTTTCAAGTCACAGGTGCCTCCAAGCTACACCTGCCCCACCATCACCTGCTGCGACCCTCCCTCTCTGGATGGGGCGGCACCTGCACAGAACAGTCTCTGGGTCGGTAACATTCAGTATCTAAAGGGAAACAGGTCCTGGCTCGGACTAAAGGAAGACCTCTGATGTTGCTTAGCAAACCAATGGTGACAGATTGAGGACCCTGCCTCCCTCTGCACCACCCTCCACTGTGAGGAAGAGGCGCCCGACCCCGATACTCTGATGGCATAGTTTGGGGGATCAGGGCTGTCCTGCACCTGCAGCCACCCTGGTTTCCCCACTCAGCCCCAGCCTCCTTTCCTGGCGGTTTGTGCCACCACAGTTCTCCTCAAGGGCTGCCTCCCCCAGGAGTCCTGCCCAACCAACCTGAGTCACCCCCTTCCCTTAACGCAACCCCTGTCCCTTGCACCTCTGAGCCTCGCCACACTGACTGACATGCATCTTCCCCCCCCCCCAACCCCCCCCCCACCGCCATCCTCTAAGACAGGTGATGCTACTGTTTCCAAATGATGTCCCAGAGCCCAGTGTGCTACAGTCAAGAACGTTCTCTTCGAGTTTGCTGTATTCTTGATGCCCAGGGAAATTCCACTTTTTTGTGCCTTCTTATGTGCTCTGAGAATGATACAGTTTATGGATCTTGCCTTACGATCCTGGTCATTATTTATTTTATGATTTAAGATGTTTCCCAGTTGGCAACACTACATTGAGGCTTTTTTCCCTGATCAATAACTGACTCAATAAGGCAGCTGAGCAAGTCGCTCACCAGCCAAATACGACAGATCACCACTTAATTGGTGACCCACTAGTCAACCCATTCAAACCAGCTGGTCCAAAGTGGGTGGGGCTCCTTGCACAGATGTTTTTGGGAAACTCATCAGGGAGAGATCTTGCACTCCAACCTTAGAGATCTGTAATGGGAAATTCTTCATCTGCTCACCGAGGTGCTGGGCTCGGGCTGCGAGCTGGAAGACGACGCTGAGCAGGCTCACTCCAGTGCTTCTCGGCCTTCTCTGACCACTGTGATAATACAGAACTGCAGGGGCCCATTTAGGAATTAAAGGAAAAACTGGTCTTTTTTATTTTTTGGATATGTTATATAAGAAACAAGTGACTGCAAATGAAAATATTTAATTTTAGCCCAATATATTATATAAAGATAAAACTGAAATTGTTTTCCAATTTAGCAAATAATACACACACAATTAATTTAACCTAAGTTTAAGTGGTAAGAAAAATTGGGATTTATTGGCAAAATTTTAAAAATATGATGTTTGGTTTGGGGATCAATAAAATATTAAAATATAGATTCAAATTACTTCTGTTACATCATCAAAAAAAGAAAAAAATGCTTTTATGACCTAGTGTTTAGAATTCTTTAATTTTGGGCTTTAAAAAATATCAGTTGATTTACTTTTATCATTTTCAAGTTTGTTTTGAAATGAGGAGGTAGGAGAGAAAGTTTCAGGCTTCTGTTTACAAGTCTTCTCTGAAAAAAACACATTGTGGGCAGTTATCATTTTTATTTTAAATAAATAAAAAAGCAAAATGAACATAAATCATCACAATATTTTCAATTTTTAAAATGCTTTTGGAAGCACCAGAAACACCTGGATGTGCTCTATAGACTCTGACTCGATGAACACAGTGCATGAACCCAGGGCAGCTGTGTCATGTGCAGTGCTCAGGGCAAAATGAGAATGCAGAGCCCCTTGTTCAAAACCAGGAAGAAAGCTGCTTCTTTTCTCCCACAGTCTCCCTTTTACCTGTCACAGGGTTTTCATTTGCCATTTAACGTTGCACTCCCCCGGCACGGGGACACTCCTCAGGCCGGGCAGACCCTCCCAGGAGCCTGGGCCCTCTCCTGTGACTCACACCAGACCCCAGCCCTCCCTGCACGCACGCCGGGCCCCAATGGGAGTGGAGTGGGGCGGTGGTCGTGGGGTAGGCTGAGGGGGGAGGCTGGGCGGGTCCAGGCACAGGAGTCAGGGAGCAGGCAGCTGAGAACCCATCCTGGGGAGGCAGGAAGGGGCAGAGGCAGGCCTGTGCAAGCTGAGGCTCCAGGCCCCTGTGCATGCTCCACTGCCCATGGGGCTTCCCTGATAACAAAAAATTCAAAGGTAAAATCACTAAGAATTGTAAGATGGTGCTGGAGAGCATTAAACCCCAAGCACAGAGTCCCCTTCCTGTGCGGAGCCCCACGCAAATGCCCTGGTCACGTGCCCAGAAGCTGGTCCTGTACAGATCTGAGAAAGATTATGTTAAGGAGAAACTGCAGAACTGTTACTCTTTCTATGCCTTTCGTTCACCTCTTGAGTTTCCTATGATTCCTGTCTTTCACCAGCGGTCGTCAGAGGTGCGCACCAAACACACGTGACAAGATAAGAGCAAGAGCGTGATGAGCAGACTCAGTCGACAACGTGGCCATCTGCTAGACACCAACCCCTCACCAGGAGTGCTCACTCAACACCCACTTGAAGAACAGAAAAGGTAAGTAATTAACTTGTGGATTATTTTAATCTAAAAATTGAAACAAATGCTCTTCTCACCTTCCATGGTGTAAGTAAATCCTGAGGAGCCTCTGTGAGCCTGCTGTGCATCCATGCTGCTGAGGGGACCACGGTCCAGGCAGGCCTGGCTCAGTCCTGGCTTACCCTTGCTGTCCTGGTGCAGTTATTAATAGTGCCCTCCCTCATGCCTAAGTGTCCTGGTTTCTCTACTCACTGTGGGCATTGTCTTCTCTTTTTTGATCCAGAGGAACCCAGAGCATTTCTCCGGAGCCATTTCCATTCCAGAGAACAAAGCATAGCAATACTTGAGGCCCAGGCACCTCACGTGACTGCCGCCCTGACCGTGGGTACCAAAAATGGGGGAATATAACCCTCCCACTCTTCCCTTGTTAAATCCAAAGGCGAAGGGACATCTACAAACAGCATGGTCCCCTGGAATGACTGCCTGCCCCTGGGATCCAGGGCCCAGGTGCCAGGGGAGGAACAGTCCTGGAAAGAAGAGGCTCACCCATAAACATTTATGTGCAGCCCAGCACAGGACTGAGTAGACAGACAGAGAAAACCAGCAACTGTGTGCCACGGCCACCCCCGGGGGGCTGGGGTTCCTTAAGTGCCACGCTCAGAGGGCTAAGAGACCTCTGAAATAGCTGTTGTCTGGGAAGGCGAGGACTCTGAGGACAGGGCGCTTGACCTCTCAAGGTCTCTGTGGTGGCCGATTCTGCAGAGGCTGGTAGGAGTAAGCAAAGCCATAGGAGTTGGCTTTCATTTGCTAGTGAAGAGACATCCAGAAACGATAATGATATCCCCACTGTGCAAGAGCAGGACTTTCTTCTGTACCAAGCTGTCTGAACAACAGGCCATTAGCGGGTAGAACAAACAGTTCCACTTAACTCGGGATGCGGTATTTACCTGAACATCATGACATATCACGGGCTCTTTCATGAAGGGAGACTCTTACCTCATTTGCTGTGTTGTGTGTTCCAACGATGCGGATGAAGGAGGCAGGCTGTCTTTCAAAAGTTACTGACTGCCAGGACCTGTGAAAGAAAGCACAACCATTTGCCTGGTTGGACGGTACGGTCATCCCCGCCCAAAGTGTGGGACAATGGGACTGAGAGGGAGGGCCTCCTCTCCTCGGTGCTATAGGAGGGATGGGGTCAGGACAGGGCCCACCTAATGTGTGCCTGAGGGAGGCAGCAAGTACACAGTGTTCCCACTGAGAGCCTACAGTCTCGTCCAAGAAGGTGCTCCTACCCTTCTGTGACGTGCCTTGGGATTCTTACAAAGCTCTCCAGAAACCAGCACCAAGTGCAGAGCGAGTTTACACTGTGACAAGAATGTGGCCAAACAGAAAAGAGACCAAGGTTGGTGGGAGTTCATAAAATACATTTCGTCCTCTGAAATGGGGCCATGACAGGCCCACCTTGAGGACTGTTGGCTGAATGGGGGCACGTCCTTGTGGGTGCAGTGACTTCACTGGAGGGCTCTCGGGGGAGGAGAGTTTGGAATCAGGGCAGGAGTGCATGCTGGGCGGGGCGGGACAAGGCGAGGGCTGCGGAGTCCCAGCACTGCAATCGGAGAAGCCAGAGGAGCGGGGCACTCACTGCGGTGTGACACCACCCCCACCCC